CCCAACTCGGAAGAAACGATGAATCCCTGTGGCCCGGAGCGTCTTCCCACACCGAGCCAGAGCCGCCACCAGCAGCCCCTCCACCGGCAGCCGGAAAAAGAGGAGCCCAGGGCCCCACTTACCGTCCCGGAAAACCCGGAAAACGGCTCTTTTTACCTGCAAACACAATCGAGATGTAACAGACCGAGCTTTGGCGGGAGGGGGGGATCCCGGAGCTCAGCGCTCCGGGTGGGAATCCCATCCGGATTGACGTGCTCGGTGCAATTGGAAGCGGTGCCGATTGGGAGCTGGGTGAGTTGTGAGGAGCGTCGATTGAGCGAGGCTCGGTGGGAATCAATCAACGGATTGGGAAAAACGTGTGGTTTTTGCCATTCCTTTCCCCAAAACATGTGGTTTTTGCCATTCCCTTCCCAAAAACACATGTGTTTTGCCTCACTCCCTTCCCCAAAACGTGTGTTTCCTCACTCCCTTCCCTAACACATGGGTTTCCTCACTCCCTTCCCAAAAACACGTGGTTTTGCCTCATTCCCTTCCCCAAAACACGTGTTTTGCCTCACTCCCTTCCCCAAAACACGTGTTTTGCCTCATTCCCTTCCCCAAAACACATGTTTTGCCTCACTCCCTTCCCAAAATCATGTGTTTTCTCACTCCCTTCCCTAAAACACGTGTGTTTTCTCACTCTTTTCCCTAAGACACATGTGATTCCTCACTCCCTTCCCAAAAACCTGTGTCTTTCCTCACTCCCTTCCCAAAAACACGCGTGTTTCCTCCCTTCCCCAAGACATGCGTGTTTCCTCACTCCCTTCCCAAAAACACGTGTTTCCTCACTCCCTTCCCTAAAACACATGTTTCCTCACTCCCTTGCCCAAAAACCTGTGTCTTTCCTCACTCCCTTCCCTAAAACACGTGTGTTTCCTCACTCCCTTCCCAAAAAAACGTGTTTTCTCACTCCCTTCCCCAAAACACACATTTTGCCTCACTCCCTCCCCCAAACCCCATGTTTTTCCCTCATCCCGTCCCCTTCCCCTCCGATTTCTGGCTGCGGGAAGCTCGCGCGCCTCAATCTCTCTCCGGGCCCCGGAATCACGGAGGCGCCGGAGGCCGCGGGGCCGCGCGCCCCGGCCGTACTCACGGCCTGGCTATGGGCCGGCCAGCGCC